GAGAGAGAGAGAGAGAGAGAGAGAGAGAGACAAGATTGGGTTACTACGTACCTGCTGCGCTGACGCATGCCCTGGGGAGCAGTGCGCAGTATACCAAGGACCCACAATGTGATGAAAAGGACTGAGATGGACAATGCTAGATCAGCGCAGCATCCACAAGCAATATTCATCCGATACATACCAGATGGCGCAAATAGCACAGCGGAAGACTTCAAAGAGAAGATCTGATCTGACGTGGACTGACCTGACATCCATCACACATCACACATGGGTGAGAGATGAGGGACCGCAATCATGGAAGGAAGGTCCCTCCTTCATACACACACAAACCACGGATGAGAGATGGGGGAGGGACAGACGAAAGAGGGGGAAGGCGAGAGAGTAGACCAAGATCGCAATGACGAAGTCCAAAATAGTCTCTTGCCGAATGTCCAAACAATGTCTGTCTCAGAAATGTCGAATCAGATCCTGGGCAGTGCGCCCGTTACAACCCCAGCTTGAATCCCTACGGATAACCTCTCACACTCTCAGATTCGAAGGAGAAGAAGATGAGAAAGAGGAGAGAGAGAGAGAGAGAGAGAGAGAGAGAGAGAGAGAGAGAGAGAGAGGAGGGAGAGAAGAGGAATCCTCCTCGCTATCTCACCTGCCGGTAGCTGTCACTCGAACTGACTTCGTCCGTTGCCGTGTGCAGGTAAGCTCGCCGACTGCAGGTATGGCCTCCGCCCTCTCCTATCTCCACTAATCACTACTCCCTACTCCTCTACCTAGCGCAGCATAGCGCAGCCTCCAACCAGCAGCGTGTGGCTCAGAAACGGGCGACTTCAACTGTCCTTGCCCAGCTGCGGCCCGACTATATGTAGTGCTGGGCCGCTGGGCCTACCTGGTACTGTGTGGCCTAAAACGGCCCAGGTGGTCTGGGTCCCTACCGGACGTCCAGACCTAGCTGCTGCTGCAGCGTGGCGCAGAAATGCGCCTGGCCTAAAAACGGCCAACCTGGCCCAAGGTGCTGTCTTGGGTCCTGCAGGACCGAAACGACGCCGGGTTGGCGCCAAAATGCGCCTGGCCTCGTTTCGGGCCTGCCTCCGGTGTACCTGGTCCCAAGGCCCGGCCTTGGGGCTGCAAGTCCGCAACGGCACCTGAACAGACAGAAATAAGACAGCACACACACAGAAAAAGGGGTAAGTAAACAAAACCCTACCTACCTACGTGCTGCCTAGGCCTGGAGGGCCGTCGTGGGCCTTCAGGGCGCGTGCTGGATAGTACGCGGCCTGGGGGCCCTTCAGCAACCGTCGGGCCCTTCAAATGGGGCCCGTGTGCAGGCTCAACATGCAACATGCGCTGAAGATACCGCTACGGCGAGAGAGAGAGAGAGAGAGAGAGAGAGAGAGAGAGAGAGAGAGAGAGAGAGA